TACTTTTTAATAATAACTTAGCGCTAGTTATCTGCATTTAAGCGTGCTAAAGCTTCTTTTATAATCTGAAGATCGTCTGCAAATAATGACTTTTTAACAGCGTTAAAGTAAGTCTATTAATAAGTGTTTATGTTAGTTCTTTTTTTAATAGTTACGTTAGCTGAAAAGGCAGCAGCATTGCGAGTGCTAGACCGAGTATTTACTTGTTTCGAAAAAAGAACTTGAAAGTAGATTTTACGTAGTTTCCGAATAGTAAAAGCTTTTAAAGTCTTATCATTTACTTTAAAAGGAACAACCTCTTTTTCGATTTCTTTTTTAACCTCTTTTTTATCGTTTAAAAAAAGAGCTTTATAAGATTCAAAAAGCTTATCGATAGCTTCTTCGTCTTTAGTTTCTTTTAAATTATTATCGAAATCTAGTTTATCTTAAACGTAGTAATCAAAGCTTTTAAAAGACTCTTAATCTTAGTTATGCTAGCTAAAAGTAAGCTGATTGCGGTCAACTTGATCACTCTTAGCTTTAAATAGCACTTTTTCTTTTTCTTTAAAAGTAAGGTCGGTAACGAGTCTATCTTTATTAAAACGAATATAAAAAGTACGAACTACTTTCTTATTAAATCGAAAAAAGACGTAGACTCGCTAAATGTTACTACTTTCGAAACCAATTAATATTTCGACCTTAGCTTTAAGCGCTAGCTTGCGATTTTATACGCGGCGTTCAAGCTTAATTAAGACGTAGACTTTGCATTCGAGTACTCGTAAATGCTTGACCGAAGGTTTATAAATCACTCTTAACTCAATATCATTTTAAAAAGCTTCGTAAAAAGTCTTTCTATTTAAAAGAGCAATGTTAGCTATAAAATTAATAATATAAATTATTGCTATTAAGCACTCGAGCTACAAGAACTTAAGAATCTCTTGATTAATAATTGCGGTGCGTAGCTTCTTTATTAAAGTACGAATAGATCGCTTTGATCTACCGTCTTGCTCGAAAGTATAAAGTATCGATTTTTTAAGTAATATACTTAAGTGGTCTGCTAACTCTTTTATCTATTTAAAAAAGTATTCTTTACTTCCGTCGCAGCGCTACACTTTAATAGTGCGATTGTATTAAGTCTTAACAAAGCGAATCATCTTCTTATTGATTAAGAAAGCGTCACTTTTAATTGCGTAAATGTATTTTTACTTAGCTATTATAGTTAAGCAAGTGAAGATTAAAGCGTATTTATAACCGTGAATCTTAATAAAAGTTAAATAGATTATATTTACGTGTAGCTTTTATAAAGCAATCGTAGGTCTTTTGCGTGCTAATACCTTATTAGTTTTTTTAAAAAGACGACCCTTTTTATAAAAGGCGCAAACACGTGTTCTATTAGTTTTGGTCTCCTTGAACTTCATTCTTATAACACTACTTTAAGTGTCGCGAACTGCTTGTAAGCTAGCATAGCATATACGTTTATGCTAAAGTTCAATATCAATAAGAGCTTTCTTAATAGCTACAAGTAAAGCGTAGCCGGTAACAAAAGCAGAAGGTGCGCAAGGGTCATCTTTAATAATGAACAGCTTAGCATCTACTTTATAAATCTCTTTATCGGTAGCCGTAAGCAATTTACTTCTTTTTAAATAACCACCGATTTTGCTTAACTTTAAACTTAAGTACAGATTGATAAGACTTTAAAGCATATAAAGCGTGTTTTTACACTTAATAACTGTGACGACACGCCAGGTCTCCTGGACGCACCTCACATGCGCCAAGCTACTTCCCTCCTTTTTCCTTTCGTATTCTTCGTATTCTCTCATTCCTCGCTTTTGACTTATGAACCATAGTTCACGAGTCTTTAGCGCTTCTACCTTCGTGTATATAGACCTTAGCTACCTTCGACCTTTACACTCGGTAGTTGTTGATTTTAAGTTATTACTTTGAGATTCTCTTGAGCTCTCATGTGAACCCCGCGCTCTTGTGAGTTCTTTTAAGTAATCGTTTAAGGTCGTCACATTATCAACAACTACCTTACTCCGCCGGGAACGGCTTTAATAATATTCCTCCTTTTTAGAATTCCTCAGTGGTTAGACGTCAAAAAACATTCAGACGACTCTAACGGTCACGAGAAGGCTTATTCCAAGTACAACTTGAAGGATAGCACTTACACAACACAGCAACCCTCGCCCCGCGGGCAAAATCCTTCGCACACCTCTTAAAGCTGCTCTAGCAGCTCCCTCCTCCTCCTCCACGGCCCAACCAGCAGTTCCTTTTACTTAAGAAGAAGCTACTAGTGAGCAAGACGATGAAGATGATCCTTCGGCCCTTACTAACCCCGAGGAAGCTTTAGCTCAACACCAAGCTCTCTTCTAGTCCTAACGAGAGGCCGCTGAGCTCAGAAAGCTCTTCGCAGACATGAAAACCCGCAACGAAGAGCTCGATAAAAGCGCTAGCGAACAAAAAACCTTCGCCGAAAGGGCTGAAAAAGAGGCCCGTCGAGCTCGAAAGGAACTGGACCAGCTCTAAGCGGTTTTGCTAACTACGGAACGCCCGTCAGAGCCTCCCTAAGTTTCTTTCGAAGATAATTCTAAAAGCAAAGAGCTATACAGGCCCTCGGTCCCTTAAGCCACTCCCTCTACTTATAGAACCGCTAACCCTCGCCGCCTCTTCGCCGACGACGATGAACCACCTTCTCTTCACAAGCCAACCAACCTTCGCACTCTAGCTAGGTTCAACACCCCTAGAGCCTCCTCCTCAGCTTCTTAAGGTCGCGCTCGTATCGAGCGGATCTTTAACCTTAAACAAAAGCTCTTAAACGGCGTAAGCTACCGAGCACGTCACTAGCAAGCCCGCGTCCTCGACAACTTAGAAGCTTTCGAAGAATACTTCTTCACAGAACGCTAACGCAAGAACTACGTCTTTGACCAAACCGAAAGAACAGCTTACCTGTTCTTAGCCCTTTTAGTCATAGATCGTAGCAACCCCGTAACCGCCCCGGAACTCGTCCAGATCGCTTTCGAGTTCTTGAACGACCCCGTTGAAAAGGCCAAAGCGTCAATTAAGTTCGAAAAACTTTATATAAGGCCTAACTAGCAATTTTAAGACTTCTACCTTGTTTTCTCGGAGCTTGCCGCTACCGCCGAAATCAAGGACGAGGACCGATTACGTGAGGCCTTGCGTTTTAAGATCACTAAAACGCTGCGCGACTAGCTTTATTTAGAATTTGCTAAGACTATAACCTTCAAAGACTTTCAGACCGCCGTCTAACAATTGGCTGCTGGCTAATACGCGTCTGCAAGGCTCTACGATGCTCCACAAGCCAAGTATAATACCTAATTCGCGAAGAGCTCTTACAATAAAGCTCGTACCGAATCCCGCTCGGCTTAAGGAGCAGCGGTTAAGCAAATCACTTATTACGAGAACCGCCAAGGTAGCTCAGCCCCCGTCTCTTTCCCTACCTTTCAGCGCTAAACCTTCAACAGCCTTAGCGCTAGTGCAGATCGATCTAATCGATCTAACAAATTCTCTTCTCTCGGAAACGCCCTTAAGTTAGCAATCAAAACCTTTAGATCGTCCCGCAAGGACCCGAATACGCCGAAGCTCCCCCGCCACCACTCAGTCAACGAGATAGAATACGGCGCTAGACCCGAATACGGCCCTTATTCGGATGACTCGGACGATAAGCCTTACTCCGACGCTCTTAAGGATCACCAAAAGCTCCTTCCTGCTGACCCCGACGCTCTCGACAATAAAGGAAACGTCGAGGCTTAAGCAAAGCCTCTTTCTTAAGCTAGCTTCGAGATATGCGATACCTCGACCTTACGAAGCTTCTTGGTAGCAAAGCTATGACTATACCCGTCACCTTCACTAAGAATGGCCTTTCGTACAAAGTATCTGCTTTGCTCGATTTAAGAGCTAATAAGTACGCGCTGATTAACTTAGCGCTACTTAAATCGCTTTCTTTTTTTCTTAAACCTTTGATTCAACTTCTCCCGGCCTTATTCCTTGTCAAGTCATACAATGGAGCTCGTAGAGCCACTATCTTACATTTTGCACTTCTTAACCTTACGGTTGACAAGCGCGTCTAATCTTTTACTCCCTTTCTTATCACTAACCTTAAGAATCACAGCGTGATCCTCGGACGAGCATAGCTAGCTAAGCACCAGATTCTCTTTGACTGCGCTCGCCGCAAGCTTTATTAGCTTCGTTCCAACTCTCCGACCGCCACTTACGCTAAACCCATTAAGATTACACACCTTAACTAGCGTAAGGTAAACGCTCGTTATTAACACGACGCTAATAAGCGTGATCGAGCCTTGGACCGCTTTTAAAGAGCTTACGACGCTAATTCACTCGTGAACTATAGTTCACGAGCGGATCAAGCAGCAATAATAGTCGCTGAATCACCTCTTTCTTTTCGGAATCGTCCTCTTTCCGCTTCTTCTTTTAAGATCGTTGAACCCCTTTCTTCTATTCACTTTCTCGTAGAGCCGTCACTCTTTCGCTTTACGAAAAACACCTTTTCTAAAGACTACGCTAAATCAATGTCTTAGATGAACCGTAAGCTTGTGTCAACCGACATCGCTTTTATAAAACCTCTTTTACTCGTCAAACGCTTCCGCTAAACATCCAAGCACAAAATCAATAGAAACTTCAAAATCAACGGCGTCTTCGGACACGCTTTCCATATGATCGCTCGCTAAAAAGACGTAGAACTGTTCTTTACGTCTTTTTACGAGCTCGATTGCTTGATCTCCGAGCGTCAAACGATTGCTTTTACTTAAGCTGACCACTAAGCATCGCTAACACGCTTTATTAACGGCTCTATTTTTGCTATTGACTTTGCAACGGAACTGTTAGAGCTCACTGACGACCCTCCCATCCTTCTCGAATACTCCGATTACGCACACGTGTTCTTTAAGGCCGCTAGCAACGTGCTAGCACCACACAAGCCTTACGACCACAAAATCGAGCTTCTCGAAGAGAGGGAGAAGGCGCTTCGGTACTTACTATTATACAAGATGTCGATCTTTGAGCTAAAGCTTACTAAAGCCTACTTTATCGATAATCTCAACAAAGGTTTTATCGAACCTTTAATAGCGCTATTTGCAGCTCCAGTCTTGTTTGCTAAAAAGCAAGACGGTTCTTTCCGCTTTTGTATTGACTTCCGCGCGTTGAACAACCTCACTCGTAAAGATCGATACCCTTTCCTTTTGATCGATAAGACCTTCGCACGTCTCTTAAAAGCTAAAATTGTTAGATTGCTTCC